CATCCCCACTCGCTACTTATACCCTTACAGCTCACAACTGTGTCCAGGCGCAGAAGAGAATATCTAAAACTGCCCAACACATAGTGCTTCTATGTGATTCTGGGGGATCAGGGAGAGCAGCAACCATTGCCTTCTTTGCAGTCTTTCAGCTCCTAGGGTTCTTGAGGGACCATGGCACTCAGTCTGCAGCTCACTGTACTCTACACCAGAACTGGGGTTTGACAGTGTCTGCATAAGACATAAAGGACTCACATGCTTTATGAAGAGATGTGCTAATCGGCTTGGGTCCTCAAGGCACTTTTGCAGCTCACCTAGAAGAAAACTGTAGAGGTACAGTGTATTAAATCTCAACACAAAGCGCTCACATGTGCTGTACAGTGTAAGCAGAAAATGAAAAGTTGCTAGGAGAAAGAGGAAGGAGTTTTTTGGCAGATGAAACTTTGCATGTCTCTTAGGCCAAAAATCCCTACCTTCAGGCATTTTTTCATTTTTACAGTTATAATTCCGATTTAAGTAAGAGACAAACAAATTAGAACCTAACTTTAACTAATGCTGGGCACACACCTTACAACCATCGCAAGACTTTTGTCTTGCGATGGTTGTAAGGTACTTAAAAAAACGTACAATCTGCCTATCTTGGACAGGCAGATCCTACTTGCGATGATCGCAAGCCGTGCCCCCCTGAGGGGTGGGCTTCCGATGACCGCAATGCCGAACGGGCAGTGTGTTCTTGCGCACACCGGCCCGCCCGGCTTTTATCTTACGAACATGCTACACACCCGCCGAACATCGTACGATGCTCGGCGGGTTTTCGAACATGTTCGTAAGTTTAAAGTCGTGCGACCTTACAGTAGTAGAGGTCGCACGGCTTCCACACACCTTACGATAATCGTACAATTGCGTGATATCCCGCGATTATCGTATGATTATCGTAAGGTGTGTAGGCACCCTAACTCTTTTTAGGCAGTTAGAGCAATAGCTCTCCACTCATGTAACTCTTGTGGAAAATAGGGTAAGGTTAAAGGGATATTAGCAGTCACCTCTATGCTCCAATACTATGAGTTTGACACTTACAGCGAGCAAATGGAACTGTAAAAGCAATGTTATACTGAACTGAACATCAGTATCAATGTCTTCATTTCCAAGGAGTCTAAACAATTACATAATTTGAATACATACTTTTGTGTGCAAAAAAATATGCTCCGATTCCCAAAATTAGCATGATTATAAATGGTTTATAACCTTGATTCTCAACTGGTGGGTCGTGACCCAAAAGTGGGTCGCGACCCCGTGTTCAGTGTATCGCCGTGTGCCTTCTACTTTTCTAGGTGAGAGTCTCTCAGCCTCCTCCTAGCGCAGCATTGTCAGTTCTCATGCAGCACAGCCATTCAGAATGTGCTTCCTGGCACCGAGTGCCAGCTTGAGGTGGGGTGGGGTGGACTGGAGCTATGGCCACGAGGGACCTCCATCCATACATTCATTGCTTATAGCTCCTTCACGTGCCAGAAGTGCCTGGACCGGGGTGACTTCACATTCTGGCTCCCGTCACCTCTACAGGGCGGGCAAGAGAGTCACAGCACAGCAGCCCAGCACTGGACCCCAGGCTGAGTATCCACTCCAATTCTCGTAATGGCACCCCAAACACACCTCCCACCCACAGTTCAATCACCTGCATCGGAATGCATGGTACCGCAATGCAGTGCGTTCCATTGCAGTGCGACTTGGGTCACGACTTATTAGCCAACGACAAATATGGGTCCTGAGGTTACACAGGTTGAGAACCACTGGTTTATAAGACTGAAATCATGCCACTTACTCTTTGTGCCAATCAAATATCTGGTGTATGTTCCCAAAGACAATTTTGTCTTTTCCCTTCATGTCCTCAGGAATTCCTTGAGCACTCATGGTTGCCATGTAACCCTGTGGGGTAAAGTTGACATACGCGATGTTCATTATGCACTGGCTTTTAGAGAATTTAAAAGTATTAATGAACAATAAAAAACTAAATATGTACAATATCTTAGGGTAAGAAGCTGGGTTAGGTGTTGGTTGAGGGGTTTGGGGTACATTTATTAAGCACTATATTTGTATGTAGGATTGTTGTTTGATATGTGTTCTAAGCATTAAGTCAAATACATATGGATGACAAAAATTTGCCCCTTTAAATTTTATCGCAGCTGCAAATGTTTGTGCTGTAAACCTTTCCCCCGATGCTGCTGTGCCAAAAATAGGCTCACCCATTTTTAAAGCCAAAAACCATGTACTAATATCACAGCTCTCCCTATGCAAAGACACTTTTTATTAGTTTTTTGGGCCTTTAACCATCAGAAACATGAGAAACAATCCAAAGAATTATTACATTTCTGCATTCACAAAAGTCCTCTGTATCAGCATGCCATACCTAAGTTGGTGTGGGCCAAGATTAAAAAGAGCTCAACTTCAGTGAGACAGTTTCCTTCTACTGTACGTAAACTTTATATGAGTTACAGAGTATAGGATTCTAGAGTAACTATGAGACTCACTGCCATTAGGCCCCTTTCATATGGGCAGACCGATCGGATCCACATATCAGTTTTTCATGCAGATCCTGATCAGATGAGCAATGCTAGTCTATAGGCAGCCGGGTCTAAACGGGTCAGTTTACACCCGGTTACACCCGACTCTGGCCAGGTCCAGAAAAACAAACAGAAAAGGCTTTCTTTTTGACGGACCTGATCATGTCCATTTACATCCAATTCCCCATAGACCGACATGGGGTCCAGTCATTTCAGTTTTTTCCTCTATCACCAGATGGAGGAAAAAACTGGAAGGAGTCACAGTGGTGACATCTCATCTATATCGCTCCATTTAAGAGGAGATCCATGCATGGATTCCCTCCTAATCAGCCCATGTGAAATGGGACATAGAGGAAAACAAGCAATAGTTTAAATTGGTTGTGTAGTAATTTCAAGAGCCCCACATTTTGAAACATCTTGATTTTCTATTAAACAGACGTTCTTCTTCAAAACATAATACATTACATGCATTGTAATCAAATTCTATTTAATCAACTGGTTTTAATTAAACAGTTTTAATGAACCGAAGCCTTGTGTAAGGTTAAATAAATTAAAATGATGGTGTTGTTTATGGATGGCCCTTGGTACAAAATAACCACTTGTTCTTCATTACTTGCTGTAAGTGCTCGCAGACAGGTCCTTAACACTAACAGTTTTAGCACTTGTTATTTAATGCTACAATTCTTAGTCTACTTTGTTATTGATTCTGACATAAGCATCTAGCATCAGAATTTGCAGCAAAAAGAGTATCCAAACTAGGTATACCAGGAAACAGGGAACACCTTCCCCGATGGTTTCTAATAAAGCCATGAGGTTAGACTGAAAAAGAACTATATGGGCAGGTAGAAAGGTTTTTTGGCTAAAAATCTGGTATCATTTTTTTTCTTTATTTGATTTTTTCCACACCTGTCCTTAGACCAACCAACAAAGTATGTTTTTAAGGGCACTTTATGTGTCAGGAGGAATAATAACTGTTTCAGCAATACAATTTAGATACCTGTGTGGATGTCCACTAAACATGAATTGTTACCAGGAACTGAGGACAGGTAAACACTATCATAAAACCTAAAAAAAATAGATTGTCTTGAGCTATTGAGCTGTTTGAAAAAAAAAAGATTTTCAAAAAATGTATCAAGGAAAGCGAGAAACAAATGTTGAAAATGAGGAGCTTTATCTGCTGGTTAGGAAGAATACTACATAGTAGTCCTGCAATATGCAGCCAGTTTTGTTTATTTTTCATTGCAGTAGTATCGTACTGTGTTAGCCAGCAATTAGTGCAGAAAGTCATTAGCTATGAGTGGCCCCGTCAGCACTTCTCTGTTAGACAAAAGTCAATTTTTTAATCAGCTGTCAGAATACAGTAGCCCGGCAGGGAAGATTCCATCAAGGCCATTTATTAGGCTGAACAACAAAAAAACTACAAGTGTAGGGCCAGCTTAAAGGGTTTCTAAACCCTCCGGGTTTTTTTTGCATTTATCTACTGTTAGCGAGCAGTAGATATAGGCAAAAAGTTAAAAAAAAAACACACTTTAACAGCAGTTTAAACTTACCCCGTCTTCGCCGCGCGCTCCCGTCCGAGGGGGAAGGGAAAACATTTTTTGCCTTTAATGTCACTTTAAAGTGACATTAAAGGATAAATTACTTTTCCCTCCCCCCAATGTTAATGTCAGCATTTACCTTAAATGATGTCTCTTAATCCGATCTTCTTCTTTCCTGATGTTTTCATCTGTCCCTACAGCGGTGCGGACTTACGTAAGCGGTGCGGACAACGTAAGTCCACAGACTTACGTTGCATCTCTGCCCGTCTCCCAGCCGAAAATCCGAACTGCGCATGCGCCCGCCCCAAGATTCTTTGCTGCCGCCCGAACAGTTTCGGATTTTTTGGGCGGAAGCGTGCAGCGAAAACAAGGTAAGTTGAAATCGCTGTTAAAGTTTAAACCACTTTGACATTATGGAGCATATTTCTTTGTTAAAAGAAAAAAAAATTCACTGTAATTCGCTAATTAATAAAACATTAAAAAAATCCAAGGAGGTGAATACTTTTTATAGGCACTGTATGCACAAAAAACATCATTCTTTTTATATACACAGAGATACCTTTGTTTTAAGATGCAAGTACAAGTCTAATATAGAATAAAGAATGCAGTCAAGGCTTTCTATTAAGAAAATGATGCTCCATCATTTTGTCATATTACTTAGCCTAATGACAGGTAGTCATTACGGCAATATGATGATCCTATGATTTTAAAACATGTTTTTAGTAACCAACAGAAGATGGCAGTTAAATAAGACCAGCATATTGATACTGTCCATTTATTATTAGACATCCCCTCTGACGCACTGCTGCGCTCTCAGAAAACATATTGGTGTAATTAGAGCGTATATAGTAAACAGTACATTGATGATACTGCTGTTTTACACTCACAGAGAACAAAAATGACTTAATGGGAGCCTGAGAGCCATTACATTATTAGTCACTGTCATTTCAGATGATGAGCCCTCAGTAATGAACTACTTTTGATACAGCCGTGCAGGAAAAGCACCTTCAAATGTCTCATGTTAAGACTGACCTAGCTGATGTGAGCATGGCTTGGGAACAAAGGCTCACCCATATCCTTTTACCAACATGAAGATACACACATCCCAGAGGGCCTGCGCTGTACAAGTTCCTCCTCAGTGTTCCTGCACTCCCTCACAATTTCCTGCTTGTGTTATATCAGCTGGGTTCTGTTTATTTCTCTTTGTGAAGGGTAATAAGTATCCTCACAATGAACTTTTCAGGCCGTAATGAACTTGCTGTATAAAACAAATACATAACTGACAAATCAGAGGACTAAGCATAACCGCTATAATAGAAGTAATCCTTCTTTCCCAATATAGCTCTGACATAAAAAACATTAAGACCTTCTTAGGAGAAACAGCATATATATCCTATTTTATTGACATTTCAAATAATGCTGATTATAATCTGTTTTGGTCAAGCGAAACTCCATGTGTGAAAGAAACCCGACTAAGTAGTATCGGTATGCTACCAAGAGACACTAATCAGGCATCATCTTTCAAATTTTTGAACATGCACTAGAGTTAAATGTTATTTAGTTTCTTCTTTATAGTGACTATATAGAATAGTTCACAAAGTATACTGTATAAACATTTGTTAAAAGCATCATATTAAAAACTTTTATACTTTGAAAAATTATAATACAATTAACTCAAACCCATTATAGTTTCCTTAAAGAACTGTAGCCAGGCTATAGACATTGAACTATTTACATATTCCTAACAAGCAGTAAAAATGCTTTAAAACAAGCCCCCACTGACCTCTGTAGTTGCATGTACCATGGAGTAATTCATCCTCCAGGTTCTGAGAAAAAAAAACACTTTCACTTTCTCCTTTTTAAGCTTATTCTGCTGCCCCCTGCTAGCAGTGAGTTGGCAGCTTTTTGAGCTATAATTTGAACACTGAGCAGATGCAGGAAGTGGGAAGAGAGCTGAATGCTGGGAATGGACTTGAACAACCTCATTGGACTTCTTTTGAACTTTTTAAGGCTCAACAGACTACATTGTTTTAGGGCCGTTCATACCAGGTCCAGTGATCTGCTTTTTTTCTACGCCTGATTGTTGTCTAAGTGCCTTGTTCACACCATAACACAGCCTTGCAGTACATTGCATTAAAATGCAGCACGTCTGCATCTTCACGCATGGACATTAACCCATGTCAACCCAAACAAAATACAGCGGCCGGTCCGCAGTTGGTTAAACTTTTGTTCAATTTTTCTTCATTTTGCCTTTTCAAATTTGTTGCAATGCATTAAATAGAAAATTTATAAATAAAAAAAAGAAAAGGCTTTTCTTATAAATAACATTGCCATGCACACAGGAAAGAAAAAGCTCTTTATTGCTGTTTTGTATTTTTTTTTTCCTCTTTAGATTGCAGAAAATAGAATACTTTTTATACGACAATATTGCTAAAGCCTTGTCTGTGTCAAAAATATAATGTATGTATTACTTTGGTATCACAGGTAATGGCGAAATGATCCCTGAATAAGAAATAGGCCCACAGCTGAAATGTAAAAAATTACTTTGATCTATAAGTAGTATACAAGTGCAGGTGCTGAAATAATTAAAGCCAGCAAGTTTAGCTCTAGGTTCATTTTACATGTTTATACTTAACTGCTCTGTTGAAAAAAAAACCCTCTTGTGTAAAGTACTCAACAGTTCAAGCTAAAAATGACATTAAAAAATTAATTGGAGTGACTCATCCACTGTAGCCCTCCCCGTCTGCTTTGTTCAGATGGCTCTTGTAGAACTGCAGTCAGAAAAAGGAAATCTGAAGGCAAACGGTTTCTGCTGCACTCTCGCTTTGAAAAAAAATGCTCTGCATCTTCTGTAAACCCTAAATTAAATGTATACTTGTAAAGCAAATATTGTATACATATTAAAATATTAATAAACAGAAATGTAACAAACAGTTAACATTGAAAGTCAACCAAATCCATAATAGCTTCCCATTAGGTAAAGTTGTCTGGTAAAAAAAAACATCCTAGCCTGTGACTGGACAATGAAGGAGCAGCAGCACTCTGGTGTGGTTATACCTGTCCTCTTTTCACCTGTAAGCATGTTTACTATGTTAAACTGACAGCCATATGCAACGCAATAAAGCTATTGGGTAAGAGTGAAACCCATGCTTCTGCCATCTGACTTCTGCTGTGCAAGGAATTACAGGAGGCTGATACAAAGATAGTTTCAGGTGCGTAAGACAGTTCATTGCCCAATGTCCAAATCCTTGATAAAAAGACCCCTTAAGGTAACCAAAAAACTGAACAATTTAGCAAGATCAGACAGCAATCAACCTACCTGTAAGAAAACAGTAAATTGTAATGTGCACTATATTGCCAAAAGTATTGGGATGCCTGCCTTTACAAGCACATAAACTTTAATGGCATCCCAGTCTTAGTCCGTAGTGTTCAATATTGAGTTGGCCCACCCTCTGCAGCTATAACAGCTTCAACTCTTCTGGGAAGGCTGTCCACAAGGTTTAGGAGTGTGTCTATGAAAATGTTTGACCATTCTTCAGGAAGCGCATTTGTGAGGTCAGGTACTGATGTTGGACCGGAAAGCCCGGCTCCCAGTCTGCGCTCTAAATCATCCCAAAGGTGTCCTATCAGGTTGAGGTCAGGACTCTGTGCAGGCCAGTCAAGTTCCTCCACCCCAAACTCGCTCATCCATGTCTTTATGGACCTTGCTTTGTGCACTGATGCGCAGTCATGTTGGAACAGGAAGGGGCCATCCCCAAACTGTTCCCACAAAATTGGGAGCATGAAATTGTCCAAAATGTCTTAGAGGTCCCTTCACTGGAACTAAGGAGCCAACCCCAACCTTTGAAAAACAACCCCACACCATAATCCCTCTCCATCAAACTTTACACTTGGCACAACACAGTCAGGCAAGTACCGTTCTCCTGGCAACCACCAAACCCACACACATCCATCGGATTGCCAGACAGAGAAGTGTGATTCGTCACTCCAGAGAACACGTCTCCACTTCTCTAGAGTCCAGTGGCGGCGTGCTTTACACCACTGCATCCAACGCTTTGCATTGCACTTGGTGATGTAAGGCTTGGATGCAGCTGCTCGGCCATGGAAACCCATTCCATTAAGTTCTCTACGCACTGTTGTTGTGCCAATCTGAAGGCCACACGAAGTTTGGAGGTCTGTAGCTATTGACTCTGCAGACACTTGGCGACTTCTGCGCACTGTGCACTTCAGCATGCGCTGACCCCGCTCTGTCATTTTACGTGGCCTACCACTTCGTGGCTGAGTTGCTGATGTTCCCAGTTGCTTCCACATTGTTATAATTCACTAAGAGTTGACCGTGGAATATTTAGTAGCAAGGAAATTTCACGGAACCCCAGAATCCAATGATTTGGAGGGATGTCCCAATTCTTTAGGCAATATAGTGTATCTGTTATTATTATTATATATGATTTAAATAGCGCCAACAGTTTGCTATTGACACCCTTGGTACAACTCTAATGAGGAAAAAAGGGTATTGGTGGAATTTTGTAGCCTACATCCAATTATTCACAAAAGAAAAGAGTTTTGCTGGGCACAAGGGCATAGCTGAATAGCACATACCCCTAGCATACAAGGGTGAATGTTTATGTGCCTATTGGCTAGGGACTGGATCATTTCTTCATGTTTGTCATGTTATATCACTGGCTATTACAATGGCTTCTTTTTTCTTGATCAAGTGATTTGAATAATAGAGCATATCTAGATGTGTCATTTCAGAACATAATTTATTATGTATCCTTCAAAGCTAGTATATATCTTTGCACCTGTTAGTAAGCAAGGTAAAGAATATTCAGTTTTACCTCTACTATTTGGCCCAAGTCTTCCACATACATCTTCTCAGTTTCTACTAACTCCATTAAGACATACCTGTACATTGTAGAAAATAAGTTATTATTATTGGCACAGATAAAAAAAAACCCTAAAAATTATTTGTAACTTCCCTCCCGCAGACCCCCACATCCACAGGGCAGGGATATGGGGATGATATCCATTTTCCCTTTAACATGGGGATAAGGTGCCTTGCTAGGGGTGGCCCCCACACACTCGCTGCCAACCCTACCATGGGTAGGCAGGCTGCAAGCCTGGATAAGTGTCTGGTATGGATTTTAAGGTGGGACCCCACAATGCTTTTGTTCTGGGAAATCTCTCCTCAATTCCTATTTATTTCATAGGTGTCAGATAGAATGGGAAAGAGAGGAAAAAGAAAAAAAAATCTAATTGAATGAGAAAGGTTTAGAATGCCTGTGAGAATTTTATTTCAGTCTACATCCCTGTATGGGAAATTATGCTACATCTCCTTAGCCAAGTGAAAGATTTCATACAGAACAGAAATAAAACAGAAATCTCCTTAACAGGCTCAGACACAGAAAAAATAGGATGTTTGTACTCACTGCAAAATCCTTTTCCTGAAGTCCCATGAGGGGCACAGGAAGTCTTCTGGTTATACTGCCGCCTACAGGAGGAATGAACACTGGCAAACAAAAAACTGTAGGCCAGCAAATTTGTCAGACTTGACGGGAAGTCAAACTTGGGGGTTCTTGATGCTGAAGTCAAGGGAACAGAAAAATGAAAGGGACACTCCTTGACAGTCAGAGAGGGAGTCTGCTCCTTAGGCTTCTACCACTGGGGAAGATAAATGCTCTTACCACCAATAACATCCCTTAGGAAAATATCTAGGGTTGGCTGAAAGAGGCATTGTGAATCAAACCCTTAAAGATAGTTCCACAGACCAGTACCTTAGCCAAAGTGCTCTACGTATATGCACTGGCAAGAGACTAATGTGAGAAAGAAGGCATGAGGCTTCCAGTAATGAATTAGACATGGTCTGACAAAGTAAAATCACAGACAGAATTAGGTGCAAGGTGGGACCTCGCACCCAAAAGCTCTGGAGCGGGCTTCGAACCACTTTTCAGTTGTGTCCTGAAATGCAGGTGCATCCTTCCACAGAACAGTAGTACCCTGTTAAGGTGAGATATGGCAGGATCCACAGAGAAAATGGGCTACTTCTCAACAAAACCTGAATCAGATCTCTGCAGCTGATGACTCAGAACCTGCTAAGGCCACAGGCAAATTAGATACAGAATCTGCCTGAGAGGGTGTGGGAATAGGCTTATGGCATCTAGGATCAGAGGGTCATAAAACCTTGCATAATTATAGCAAAAAACTCAGCCAAGATGGCAGAGGACCCATCCACACCTTACAGAGTCAAGGAAGATTCTGAAGATGGAGAGACTCTAAAAGTAAAGGACAACATGACTCCAGGCTGTAGATGTCGTTACCATTAGTAGGTGTGCTGCAAGCAGCTCCTGACCCTGAAAGTGAGCTGGAGGTACCTGTTGCAGAAGCACTGTCCCCCATCTCTAAAATGTGGCATGTTGTGGCCACAAAGCAGAAAGGCAATGTACAGGCAAGGTAAGAGAATAGGCTTCAATACTCATGAAACCCAGACAGCTGGTAACAAGTGAGGGATAGTGACTGGAGGGTCAGATTGCCAGCGGTAACAAGCGTCATTGTAGGCAGGCAGTAACAGATCAAAGATTGAAGATCAACATGACTCTTTGCAATAGCTAGCATATGCTTCCCTGATGCTGTATGGTGGGAAAGAGAGTGTGGCGTGTGTGTGCATGACCCTACACCCAAGGGATGACTTTAGTGTTCAGTCCCACAGTGTTAACCTCTTTCACAACAAAGCTGTCATGAAATGGGGTATATTGGTGCCAGTGAACAATGAAAACTATGAAGCTCCCAAAGCTATGGTTAAATCCGGCTTATTTACTTAATTTTCATAGGCAGGACAACCGCAGAGACAATGCCATTGGCCCTGGACCTGGAAAGCATTCATAGCTAACTTAACCAGGACTAAGTCTGGAAATCACTGCACACGGAACCCAGTGCCAGAAGATCACATTCAGGCTAGCCCTGCAGCGTCCATTCCAACAGGGTCCGGATACAGTACAGTCCAAAAGCCAGGCTGAGGATGACTGTGCCAGATAGCTGCTGATCAGAGATAAAAACCTACAGCAGCAATGTAGAGAAGAGTCATGATTGAAGAAAAAAATAAAGGAAACAGAAAAAAAAGCTAGAATAAAACACAGGCTAGCCTTTACAACAGCAGAGCTGAAGAAAAGATGTCTGTCCTGGGGCATACTGGTAATGGAAGGAGGTATACCCTGGGCTGGCCTAAAGTTTTTTCTGTTAGTCAATGTCCAATCCTCCTGTATGCAGCAGTATAACTTGAAGGTTTAAGACTTTCTGCGTCCCTCAGTGGCTGACAAAGAAAAAAAAAAACTTTGGGGTTGGGTTTTAGGTGATGCAAAAATTCAGTAAACAGCCATACCATATGTTACCCAGTGACAAATCAAATGTGTAAATCATAGCCTAATATTTAGTATATGTAGATAATGTAGATCTTAAATACCATGAATTATGTGTATTTATATGGAAGAGCTCATATGCAGACAAGGCACTCTGATTCCTATAAATGTGAAACCCCATTATTTTTACTTAAAATAGATATGGTACATGAATGTCATCACTTACTGGATTAGTGAGTAATGTTTGGCTGCAGGGACGCCACCCATTAAACATAAACAGCTCAGAAATCACTGCAAGCAGACTCTAGCCACGTTCTAAATCAAAGTCAGTAGCTGATAATGTAGGAAACAGCTACTGATTGGCCACATCCCCCGGAATGCACTTCTATTGTCAGGTGCTCAAGAAAGCCTTCTCAAGTCTATGTTTCTTTTCCTCTGGACTTATCAGTAGACTTGCATTTCCCTCCCCACCGACCTTATCATCCATGAACTTAGCCATATCTGCAGTAGTTCAACATTCCTAGCCATTATCATCAAAGGCATTACTAAAAACATGAGTCCCTTACCCACTTATTTAACTATTATTTCTGACAAGCTGAAAGCTGACCATAGACAGCAGGTGTACATACAGGCACATTTTGACTACATTAATCAGACAATTCAACTTTTTTATTCAGCAAAACAAATGACGATTATGTCATGTTTATGATCAGCTTTACAACTATAAACTCACCTAGATGTATTAGGTGTTATCAGTATTACTAGAAGAAAGATGAGTAAAGGACCATTCCCCATAAGCCCCAAAAAGGACTCACTTACATACTCTTTTCTAAGGCACTCTTCCTTTCTTCTTCTGTTTCTTCAGGGGAATAGGAGGAAGCAAGAGACGTTTCAGAAGCTATAGACTCTTTCTTTCTGGAGTCTGGGAGGTAGGATGTGTGCGGATCCTGCAAAAAAAACAAAAAAAAACAAAATTATAATAATTAATCGATCTTCTATAGACAAAACCATCTTTGCCTTTTGTATGAGTGAAATAATTGCTGTAATCAGCTATATACAGTATAATGATAGAAGTAGAAAGACCTGGCAGCAGTTTCATGTAAACTTGTACTTCAAGAGAACAGAAGGCTTGGGCTGCAACGTCTTCATATATACCAGTGGCATAGCAGCAGACATGGCAGAGGTTCCAGTCATTACCCAGCCCACAAACCTAGGGGGTCCAGAAATGGCTTCCGTTATAGTATACTGTAGAAATGGAAATCACCATGAGGACGTACTCATGACTAAAAGTTTGTTGTTTTGAATAAAACGTGTTTCTGGTGGAAATGGTTAACAAGCATTCCCACTCCAAAAAATTACAACCCAGTTAAAACTCCAGCCTAGCAGAAATGCCTAAACAAGCCTGCAACAGCTGTTTAGAGTGAGTTCTCTGTGTTGCAAACAGCAGGCAGCAAGGTATATAACTGTGACGGACTGAACCGTCACTGGGGCTGCTGGAGGAGCCTGAGGGCTAGCCTCCTTCCTAGAGACTATGGACCTAGGACTATAGAGACCCCCCCTTGTGGGTTGAAGTGGGTGTCCGGGGCCCATGGACGGTTGTAGCAGGGGAGCCTGGCCCTACAGCCGTCCAATTTCACAATTCAATGCCGGCTCTGGAAACCCAATGTTAATGAAAATGATACACATATCAGCCCTCCCATTCAAGCTATCAGACTAATCCCTGCTGACCCTGTTTCAAGTCCTCATTTGCATGACCAAGAGGACCTAAGTGAGGACTAGATGGGACTTTACAATTGACCAATAGGAAGGTGTTCGGTTGGGCGGGGCGTTCAAACTGCTGTGTGTCCTCCGCCCTGTCCTATGTTTTAATCACTCTGTGTTTGACTGGTTGTTGCTTATGTAATGTAATTATCTCCTGGGACTTCTCTGTGTCATTACACATATCAGCCCCCCCCATTCAAGCTATCAGACCAATCCCTGCTGACCCTGTTTCAAGTCCTCATTTGCATGACCAAGAGGACCTAAGTGAGGACTAGATGGGACTTTACAATTGACCAATAGGAAGGTGTTCGGTTGGGCGGGGCGTTCAAACTGTTGTTTATAAAAGTGTGTGTGCATCCAATAAAGGAGATTCCTGTTTGAACTTACATACAGCCTGCCTGGTGTTTGTTCTGAGCTATCACCACTGGATACGAACGGCACACAGCTGAAGTTCGAATCCCGAATTATCGGACGACCGAAAATATCAGACGCTGCGGTCTGGAATCTGAGGGGTGCCGGGAGAGTGGAACTGAGCAAGCAGGGGTTCGTTACAATAACCTTTCCTCATTCTAACATAATCCAGAGACCCATTTTGGTTTCCAGTTGTGTCAAAAATTAGTTTATATTTTGCAGTCATGGTTCCAAAAAATTGCCACACACGTGCAGTAGCAGTGCTGATTCAATGTGCTGATATGTTACTTCCTGGTGGTCGGTTACCTCCCTTTCTGCCTGTGACCTCAAATCCTGGGGTGTTAATGTAAGTGAGAGTAAATGATAACGGGCATCTAATTGGATCCTATGATGAGTACACTTCAATTTATAATCCTAGTTGTAAAGTGCAATTGTATTTAAATACGTTTTTTTGTTTTTAATAAAGCGGTGAAGTGTTACAACCTGTGTAATGTTTTTATGGCTGTCTATGTCCCCACTAAAGAGACTCACACTCTGCTATGACAGAAATTGACTGGAAATGCAAAATTTTACAGTTGTCACCGAAACAGACATAAAAGTTGTTCAATATACCCCATGTGAAAAAACTGTTCCAGTGTCAACTAAGTGGGGATTCTTTCAGAACAGAATATGGAGGGAATTTCTCCAACAGGACAGAGACAGCAAAAAGAAAACTTGACAGGAGTTGTAACTGATCCCTACAGTTTTGCCTAGAGATCCACTACACGTCCCCCACTCAAAGGTGTAACATCCCAGAATAGTAGGGCTGTGGAAATTAAAGATTAATTTCTCGATTAATCGTAAAAAAATGTGATCGATTAAAATTATTTTGATCGCTAATGAAAACACTCACCTCTCCGCCGGCTTCCGGGAGTCCCGTCAGCGATCCGGTGACGTCACGGACATCGTCGTCACCGGACTCCTCCCCCCTCCCCCAAGTGGCTCCGTCGGCTAACGAAGGGAAGGGGGGAGGAGTCCGGTGACGTCAATGTCCGTGACGGCTAAAAGAAGGGAAGAGGAATCCGGTGACGTCGATGTCCGTGACATCACCGGACTCCTCCCCCCTCCGTTAGCCGACGGAGCCACTTGGGCCGGTGAGTTTGCCCAAGAAACTTTCTGCACGAGCGCCAGCCAAGGCATTGGCCTATACACATACAGCACAGCAATGAAGTAATAAAATTAATTAGTATCACACTAATCCAGAACGTTATTATTCTGAGTTGCCCCACTCAAGCGGCGGCCATATTGAGTGAGGCACGTGAGATTAATAACGTGCTGGATTAGTGTGATCCTAGTTCATTTTATTACTTCATTGCTGTGCTGTATGTGTATAGGCCAATGTAGTTGGATCTGTATGTGCCTTATAATTAATCGATTAATTAATTTAAAGAAATTTCGATTAATCGAACACGAAAATTTTAATCATTACCAGCCCTACAGAATAGCTGAGTGAATTTCTTACTACAGCATGTCTTCAAAAGTATTCTCCACCCATCTGTTAAATTCTCATTTCCTGATATCCTAATAAATTGTCTCTTGAAACAAGAGCAAAGAAAACATTGAAAACAGTTTTTCTGGTGTAGTTATCCTGCATCCTCCTCCTTACTGGTTTATTATTGGCTGCTAATTCTACCAATGAGTTCTTAGGTTCTTAGTTAAGATAGCCTATCAAATGCACCAAGTAGAAAGGGGTTCTGATGCCGAATCCTGCACTAAGTTAAGCAGGAATGACCTTCACTTGTTTCAAGAGTCAGATTTTACTGATGCAGGAATCATCTGTCACTGACTGGAGAATGTCATAATCAAAGCGACACTCACACCAAAATGGCCACTTATGATATCAAAGTGGAGCAGAGAGAGAGGGGAGAGAGAGAGAGCGAGAGAGAGAGCGTGGGAGAGAGAGCGAGGGAGAGAGAGAGAATATGAATGCACATATTCCAGGTGGTACCTAGAAAACATATGATGTTATTAAGGTGAACCTGTGCCCAGGTGTGATCATGTACACTAAGGCTTGGTTCACACTGAGCGTATTTTCACAGCTCATTCAGGGCAACAAAACACTTCCCCCCAAAAAAACCCATTCATTCTTATGGCCTGTACACACCTGAGCATTTTGTCCCAATAAGCAAAACGCCAGTAATCGTAAAAAGTACATGAACTTCAGCTTACAGCTAGTTTTGTCGCCATAGAGTCAACATGAAACGCTTGGGAACGTTTGTGCGCTTTTTTGCCATTTACATCAATGTGTCACAATCTGCTCATAAAAATGTGCAATGTAATGTACGCTAATTTGACCCGAGAAACCGATGTCGCCTAGGTGTGAATCAGGCCTAAAGCTATTTACATGATCTGAACAAACAATAAAAACACTTTAAAACAAGCCCTCAATCATCTCTGTATATCTAAGCATTGTAGAGAAATTAATTTTACAATTTCACAACACAGGCAGTAAAATCTTAGCTTTTTTTCTATTGAGAGCAGAATCTTTGGCAGTCTGCCAGCCATCTAATGTAAACAACCAGTGGGGGCTTCTAAGCTGTTAGAAACTCAATGAAGCCAGGATTAGAGTCTCTCTAGAGCCAGAGCCAGCTGTGCCCGCCTACTTCCCTGTCTATCACTCCAATGAGTGTTGGAGAAACAGAGAGAGGGGAGGGGGGAATCCCTGCGGGGAGCGGTCGTTGACAGTCACTACTCTCTGCAGGGAGAAGCTGTGAGCTGAGTGATCAGCGGTTTGTGATCGCTCAGTTCTCAAGCGGCTATAGAACCGGCTCACACTATTGGGAAGAGTACATTTTACTCTCCCAATGGTCCTCCTTTAAGGGGTGCACATTGTAACAGTGTTCAGAAACTGGCATATACTAATTCCTCTACTGTCATCATGGACTGAGTAGAGTGGGCCAATGGGCGCTCAAAGAAATAAACTGTGTGTAAAAAGTCTTGTTTGCACAAAATAGTCATGCACCCCTCCCTGCATCTACCTTTTCTGCACTGCACAACTCACTGATAAATTATTCTAAATGCTTGCTTTTTCATGTGCCATAACAGCAGCTTATAAGGATTAAACAAAAAATTACTTTTCACAAGTATTTTTTTTGCAGTGCTCCTCTGCACGGTGCTATAATTATTAGCCTGTGTAGTGAATACAATCGGCAGGATGTAAATGTACTGTGCTGTTTATCACTTGGTACCGTAACATAGAAAATGCTACACGGGACGTACAGCTTAATTGCCTCTTCCTTCCATATATTATTGATCAGCTGAAGAAATGCTGCCAGTGTAGACATTCTGGTAAAAAGCATCTATCAATGCCATAATAGCTTTCTTCAAACAAGCACAAGCTAAAAGCTCTGGGAATTGTGAAGCTAGCTTTTCCATAAAATTCAGTGTACAGCTCCCAGCCTGGCTGGTACCTAAGAAAACTGGGCACAAGTCAACAACTGACCAGCACAGCAAATATCACTAACACAAGTGGGAAGATTTATTAATAGCGTTGTAAGGCTTGCACCTGCTCTATTTACGCAGCTTTAGTTTTACATACTACATTTACTAAAGGGTATCTATAGCCAAAACTTTTTTCTTTATAGTTGTGAATAGAGTAGCGTTTTATTGCTGTCTGGGTTCCACTGAGGAGATTTATTTTCTATGTCTGTTTTGGTGGCCTTTGTCAGCGGGACAGAAAGTTACAGCTGTCTCTGGAAAAGGTGAGGGGAGATCTTCCAGGTAGGATAACTTCTTCCAGTGACATATGTCCAGTGACATATGCCCGCCATGAGGACCACCCTAAATGGACATGTGTCTGATCAGCCCGTGTGAAAGAGGCCTAAGGCCAGCCCCCAGTCTCCCAGTAACTCCCAGTTAATGAAACACATTTAAGAGTAAAATGCAAAAGCCCTAAGTGATTTTCTGTGAAAACTTCTCCCCACTGAACTCATCTTTATGTTTAACCATTTTTATTACTGTTCAATGTGGCTTTACAAAAAGGAAAACTCCTTACACAGATATAATGTATAAACAGTATTTCTTTTTTGGGTTTATGATCTTGAAACACCTGATTATGGCAACTATGCAATCATTAGAACCTCAGTATAGTCCTTGGTAACATATACACACTGAGAGACAATTAAAATGGTCATAGTGGAAAGATCTCAGGAAATCATATGTACCTCGTCTGCCAGTTAGATCTGATTTACCTGTGAAAGAGAGAAACTATCTTCGGTTTGTTTCCGGTAAACAGATCAACTGTGGCACAGCATGTGAAATATTTATAGTTGGTTTTGTTTTATATCATATATTTTTGTAACAAAAATACATAAGACCTATTTCTCAGTGTATAATCCCATAATTAAGACATATCTGAGTTGGAAAAAAAAATCAGGTTAAAAAAAAAGCAAAACAAACTGCCAGCACATCTAAAATAAAAGCACTTAAAGGCAGGTAAATGAGTTTGAATGATACCATTAAAAATCATTATATGCTTTTTGAAATGACCTATATATGCATATTTGTGTGCCAGTATGAATTTTTGTCTTAAACACCTTAGCTCACAAAGCTGAATACTTATCAGCATTCCAGAGATACGCCTAGTCAAACTGTCTCTGTCCTCTTCAGCTAGCCACATCAACCCAACTATAGCAAAGTAGCCTCTTTTTATGCATTTCTGCACTTTTAAAGCACACACGAGAATCATATTCACCTGTAATTTAAAGAGAAAGAATAAATACACTGCTTGGACCTTAGACGAAAATGGTAGACCCCCCCCCCCCCATAAAAAATGTAACTGTTAGTGCAAATAAAAAGTATCAGCGACGTAAGTATATAACTGTGTTGTTGCAAAAGAAAAAACACATGTCCCAAATTAATCAATTAACAAGTAAATTCAAAAATAAATTCATAATATATTCATAGTGTTTTTTTCAGGATCTATGAAAATGGCTCTTTTCCTCCCCCTATGTGCAGCACCAGACACTGTCAGGATGCCACAGCCAGATTTGTCATGGCAGGTCCCATCATTCCACATATCTGACCTATGTAAAATTAAGTATCTTAAAAAGGTGAAAACATTAGTGAAAGGTTAGGGATGGAATGTGGGATGTGCCAGAGACAGACTGTCTGCCTGGAATAAGTAGAGTATCTTACTGGCCTTGGACCTATACTGTGAATTATTAATGCACATATATTGAATCAGAGTAAAAAAAAAAAGCATAGAGGGGTTGTGTATGCGAGCAATCCCAGTCCCACTTTCACTTTGACATTTCACTGGTGAGCCCTGTATGGGTAATATTTCATCTGCGTCATTACAAATGCAAAAACAAACCCTTTCCTTACATAATCCAAGTAAGTTCCTTACATAATCAATAATTATAAAGTCCAAATTAGCCAGAACTTCTTTTTTGGAAAGAGTAAGGAAGAGTTCAAATCTCTTTAATTTTCTTATTGCTGTCTTGTGTCCTGATTGGGGATTGGAGAGATTTACACTTCACATGCTGGTGAGCAGAATAATAGAGATTTTCTCCAGCAGACAGCAGTAAAAAAAATAGGACCAACCCTTTAGCCCTGGTTCACACCTAGGCGTATTGCATATGCGCGTCTGTCGTGCGTTTTTTTAACCGTGATTCACGGTAAAAAAATCGCGCGACAAACGCGCGTTTCCGAGGGCTACTTGGCTGTATCCCAATGGAAACGCGCAACAAAAACGGCCCAAAGTAGTACATGTACCTTTTCAGGCGTGGGCCGTTTTGTAGCGTGTTAGGGACGGGCTGAAATACGCCAAGGTGTGAACCAGACCCATTGAATACAATGGGATTTAGATGTTTGAGCGTTTTGTAGAGCGTTCGTCGAGCGTAGAACGCGCTACAAAACCTTCAGGTTCATGAACGAGGTCTTATGCATTTAACTGAAACATGCATTTTTTGCAGTCTGTGCCTCCTATTGGATTCTACTCACTTCCGGATCTAGTGATTACATAGGATTCTAGATAATCAATGAAGGAACTCATCGCTATCCAGTAAACAATGCAACTGAGCTAAGATCAAAAAGTTCCCTTCCCAGTTTACCTTGATCTGACATCTGTGTAATCCCCAGTGAATGTAAGGGAAAATCTCCCCTAAAACACCAAAACAAACCTGAAGATTCTAAATTTTTTCATCCTATCCATAAATTTGACCGGGGAACAATACGTTTTACAATTCTTGACAGATTCCCCTTTGTATATTTGTTACTACAGGGGTGCCCATTAGGTAGATTGTGATCGACCAGTAGCTCTCAAAGCTGATGCTGGTAGATCACGAAGGGTGTGAATAACGGCCCCTTTATTCCATTTTGGTATATTTATTTAGCTGTGCACACATGATTACCTATTAGCCTGAGGCTGCTGAGCCAAGCTCCCTGATACCTTTCTGGTGGATACTGGTGGTTGAAGTGCTATGTATTACATCAAAGAATATTAGTTTACACAGCCTGTTGCAAAATAGAGCAAGGTGAGCCAGGAGAGAGAGCGGGGAGAGACAGCCAGGAGAGAGATGAAAGACAGCCAGGGGAGAGAACAAGGACAGCCAAGAGAGCGAAGAGAGACAGCCAGGGGAGAGAGAGAGCAAAGAGAGACAGCCAAGAGAGCGAGGAGAGACAGCCAGGAGAAAAAAACGAGGAATGACAGCCAGGAGAGCGAGCAGAGACAGCCAGGAGAACAAGGAAAGACAACCAGGAGAGAGAGAGCAAGGTTTTTTTTTCCATTGGTAGATCTCATGTAGCTCGTCATTTGAAAAGTAGATCTTAACACAAAAATTGTGGGCACCCCTGTGTTACTACAAAGCATTTATCATCCATCAACTGGATTCTGAAATAATCTGTAGAAGTAATGTAATATAGACGGGGGTCGGTTCAAACAAAAAGAAAAACCATCACTTCAAACATTCCATGGGTAAACTAGCTGCACAATCTCTCTCCAAGTCCTGGTCAATGAGGTTCACTGGTACCTTGAATATCTTTGCATTAAAGTTCAACCTCACTCTGCATGGATCTTCTCCAAATTCAAATGTTTATTTACAGTTAACATAACACATTGTGATACAAGAAACCCCACGGGGTCAGGCACAGCCACCATTATTCCCATTCCAGTTCCCAGCATCACACCAGTGCATGTTCTGAGAGGAAATGAGTGCTGCATTTGTAAATGCTGGGCTGCAGGCAATATGAGTTGCTATATATACTGCATGAAATATTCTCCACTAATTTTAATGCTGTTAAGGCCAATGAAGATACTATTTTTTTTACAACAAAACTGAATTTATCCATTAAGCTTTTTTGGCTGCGGGACTGTCTGTGACAAGCCCTATCCAAACATGTTTTCCTGTTCTGGCTGGACCCTACCCGAACATTATGCACAAACAGGTTTATTTACTACAGCATTGCTAAGAGCAATTACTGTGTATGAGCAGTGGAATTCAGGTTTTATCAGTTTAGAATAGTCATAGCAATGAAAGATAGTTGCTAATTGGCTGCTCTGGGTTACTGCATTTTCCTAATTGTTATTTGCCTAACAAAGCCCATCTCTTAGCAAATCCTTTATTCACTCTAAGAAGTTTTCCACTTAACCAGTTGACATCCGCGGTGTTAAACCCCCTTCCCATCCAGGCCAATTAGCCCCTTTCACTAAAAATCACAATAGTGTGCGCCTCTGCATGCTGCTATGAAATCACCTTGCATTATTAAACAAACATTTTGTGCTTCTATTTACAATAACTGTTTTTTCTTCTTCCTGGTTGAATGAGGCACTAGTGATGTAGCCCTGGCCTCACTGATGCATCCTGGGAAGGCTTCATCATCAGTGCTTGTCTGGGAAATCTCATCAGTAAAATGTAAAATCTTGGAAGATCTTAGGGGAAAGGCATTTCCCCCCTCAAAGGATGTGCACTGTCACGTATTCCAGGAGTAGTGATGAACCTGGGTTTGAGTGTGTCCAAGCCCATTAAAAAGTGTGACCACCACACCCCCTGCCCTGGCCCAATCAGTGATAGCAATTGCAGTGGGAGGTATTCCCTGCCTCTTGGTGAGGTATAGCTGGAATTGATTTCCATTGTTTTTGGAATGCAATGCAAGTCAAATGCAGCCTCAGAACTGTCATACACATTACCCTACTGAAGTAAATGGAAATCTACCTCCCTAATGCATGTCAAAAGGAGAAAAACGGCATCTGCCTACACAAGCCCAAAAGAAAAACTATGGAGGAGAGGAAGACAAAGAAGGATTTGGTTCTACAATAGTTTAGTAGGGAGTTATGCTTTATTCCCATACATCAAGTTTGTGATATATCTGGAATAATTTAAAAACCCAGTTCTGAGATGTACTTAATATGTAGCAAATGCAATAATAAAGTAACATTGACTAAAGAGGCATTTATCTTACAGTACTTGGTACACACCTTATTGTCGGGCTCTGTGTTTGCCCCCTGCAGCAGGTCACACAGGAAAGATATGTCAGGCAATTGATGTTTGTCAGGATTATCATGTTCTTTCCATTCCTAAAAAAGAAAAGGAGAAACACATTCAAGAAGCATTTTCTAATATAAAACAAAATATATAGTTGTTATACATGTATAGAAGGGCGGTAAAAGATGTACGTCTACTCTATATAGTCAGACGTTTGTGTATACAGTACCTGACAAACCCACATTTAAGAGCTTGATGGTCAATTCTTCCAAAACCATGAACATAAATACAGAGCTGGCCCTTCCTTTGCAGATATAACACTCTCTGCTCTATTGGAAAGGCTTTCCACAAGATTTTGTAGTGTGTCTGTGGGAATTTGTGCCAAAAGAACCTGTGAGATGTTAGATGAGAAGACCTGGCTCCTAATTGTTTCAATTCATCCCTCCATATACTTTTGGTCATATAGTGTGTGTATAGCTGGGTTCACACCTAGGCGTATCGAATGCGCGCGTCTGTCGCGCGTTTTGTGACACGCGCTTTGACTGCGATTCGCGGTAAAAAACGGGCGACAAACGCGCGTTTCCGAGGGCTACTTGGCTGTATCCCAATGGAAACGCGCGACAAAAACGCTCCAAAGAAGCTCCTGTACTTCTTTGGGCGTAGGGCGTTTTGCAGCGCGTTCATACGGCCTGTAATACGCCCAGGTGTGAACCATACCCATAGGAGATATCGGGTTTCGGTGTTTGAGCATTTTGCAGAGCGTTCAAACGCGCTACAAAACGCCCAGGTGTGAACCAGGCCTAAGTGAAAATGTCCAAATTGGGCCTAATTAGCCATTTTCCTTCCCGATGTCATGTGACTCGTTAGTGTTACAAGGTCTCAGGTGTGAATGGGGAGCAAGTGTGTTAAATTTGGTGTTATCGCTCTCACTCTCTCATACTGGCCACTGGAAGTTAAACATGGCACCTCATGGCAAAGAACTCTGAGGATCTGAAAAAAAGAATTGTTGCTCTACATAAAGATGGCCTAGGCTATAAGAAGATTGCCAAGACCCTCAAACTGAGCTGCAGCACGGTGGCCAAGACCATACAGCATTTTAACAGGACAGGTTCCACTCAGAACAGGCCTCACCATGGTCGACCAAAGAAGTTGAGTGCACATGCTCAGCGTCATATCCAGAGGTTGCCTTTGGGAAATAGACGTATGAGTGCTGCCAGCATTGCTGCAGAGGTTGAAGGGGTCAGCCTGTCAGTGCTCAGACCATACGCCGCACACTGCAATAAATTGGTCTGCATGGCTGTCGTCCCAGAAGGAAGCCACTTCTAAAGATGATGCACAGGAAAGCCTGCAAACAGTTTGCTGAAGACTAAGGACATGGATTACTGGAACCATGTCCTGTGGTCTGATGAGACCAACATAAACTTATTTGGTTCAGATAGTGTCAAGCGTCTGGGGCGGCAACCAGGTGAGAAGTACAAAGACAAGTGTGTCTTGCCTACAGTCAAGCATGGTTGTGGGAGTGTCATGGTCTGGGGCTACATGAGTGCTGCCACCACTGGTGAGCTACAGTTCATTGAGGGAACCATAATTGCCAACATGTACTGTGACATACTGAAGCAAAGCATGATCCCCTCCCTTTGGAGACTGGGCCACAGGGCAGTATTCCAACATGATAATTACCCCAAACACACCTCCAAGATGACCACTGCCTTGCTAAAGAAGCTGAGGGTAAAGGTGATAGACTGGTCAAGCATGTCTCCAGACCTAAACCCTATTGAGCATCTGTGGGGCATCCTCAAACGGAAGGTAGGTCTTCTCATCTAACATCTCACAGGTTCTTTTGGCACAAATTCCCACAGACACACTACAAAATCTTATGGAAAGCCTATATATATATTAATATGGTGTATTTTTTCTAAATTTTGTAAAACACTTTATCCTCACTACAGACGGTTAGCAAGGAGAAAGGATTATCTCCTGCCATTAGGATAGTTCATGACCCTAAAAACAGCTTTTCAGACTCTGTTAGTTCAGACAGACTACCTAATCTATATTGCCCTGTAGATGAACCGGCCCCTCATACCTATGAGGCCTCTTATTGCTCATTTCTTTTTTTTTAACAAGTCTGTTTTTTACATAGCAATATCCCTGCTGGCTACCTAAACATGTAGAAATGCCAGACTAGGGAATAATTATTCTACAATAAGGAAGTGATTATCAGAAAAGAAAAATGTTTCAATGCAAAGACTATGTAAGAACCTTCAAGATGACATTCTATATATAGTAGAAATGGGAAAAACAAATCTTCATTTTTCTCCTATTACTTACACTGAAGCTAGGTATAAACAAGGCATTTTATGCAAGACAGCATTGATATACTGTATATACTTTGCACGGAAACTAACCATTTGTTTATAAGTGATTCTAGCCTCCCAGCATCCTTTTGTTGACCCAACACATATATATCTATTGTATTGGCACAAAGTACCGATACTTGTCCAAATACTCACATATACAATTACTGATGCATTTTTGTTTATTGTCATGTGACAGTTTTTCTTAAACAATACAAACGAATGATTGCAGGACATTGGTGGAGCGCCAGGGCCAAGTCCCGGCTGCAACCGCTTCAACCCTGGTAGTTCTCGTGAAAATGCCAAGAATTGGCACTGGTATCTGAACATCCCTACTATCCACTTTATCATCTGTCTTTGGTTTTCTGAGGCTATCTGTAAAGTTAGCTATACTCATTATGTTATTCAAAAGATTCCAGTGTAATGATCCACTCTCCCACTGCCCATCTATGCACCTATTGGAGGACACCGGCCAGGCACCACTAAAATGTGTCCTATCGTGATAGGAACACACCAATGATCAAAAATCCCACTGTCAATGGCTTGTATCCGGAGATAATCTGTCAGGGGTGTCTGCCAGTACCCAAAGAGATGATAATAATCACTTTTAAAGTGCTCTGTAATGGCATGAAATGTAAAATGTTCATAAGTGATCATTGCTCAGTAAATCATAATAACTGCATCAGATTAATCATCACAATTGTGTAAAGATTTTATGTATAGGAAAAATGTATGCTACGTACTTATTCTTCTCATCTGCCTTTTTTGGCTTCTAGAATGAAAGACTGCTTTTCCTGACACGCCACAAGGATTTCTTGACATGCTGGCTGCTGGTAGAACAGTACTCCCTGTCGTAAATGTGGCTGCTATCTGACATTAATCCGATTATATGGTCTTGTTTACTTGTTTTAGCTAACGCCTTCCCAATAGCATTTAGCAGCGAATGATACAGACAGAAAGGGATGGACAAACAAGAGGTTGTGTTGTAGCGTAAACCACAACAATTGTTCTCTCATACTCATAATGTACATCCTGATATCACATTGGAACTTGAGTAAAAGCAATTGTTCTATTTCAGTGCTGTGGAAATAGGATGTGTGAAATCTATGAAGAAATTGTATTTTATAGGGCTGGTCCCATACAAAACCTAACGTTTCTATGCAGTGGAAAATTGAAAACAAAACCCAATTCACATCCACTAAACCACATTCCAAGTGCCTGCTGGGAGACCAGGTTTATTCTAGGGAAACTAGTCAACACAAGTGCGTAAAGGGATATGCTGTTACCCTGTAGAAAAAACGATGCCAGCTTCTCAAAATTTTGGAACACGGAAATTTACATAAGCCCTATCCATGACATGCCCCCTACCATTCTGTGAACACGTTCTTTATTGTCCAATGTATCAAAGAATGGTAAATTGTTAAAGTATCTGGTACCTTAACCTCCCTGGCGGTATGATTATTATTTGTTGTTTTATATTCTAGGCCTGTAATTCTTAGTAAATCTTAGGAATAACTCACCTAAATCTGTCCAAATAAGAGTCCAGTAGACATCCCGGGTATAATAAAGTTTAATTAAGACCATAGAACCTCTCTACTCTTCTCATTAACATAGGGGAGACGTGTTGTGTAGTTCACAGAAGTGCATTGGGATCAACAGGCATTTTTTGCACTTGCCAAATATAACAATACACATATGATAATATAGCTAACAGAGCAAAAGGGGAAACTCCAAGTTCATAGTAAAGGTTTACATACACTTTAATCCTTGACTCAGGTATCCAAACATAATAAAAAGCTGACCGCAACTGAAAAGGCTGACGCCTACCCAAAGCTGAGCATACGTTCAGTTTTAACTAATACTCCTCTACATAATCAAAATTACATTTTATATTAATATCTGAATGAGCAATGAAACCTTTACAATTCACTTAATTGAATTGCATTCCTATTTTCTTGCCGCTGTAATTACACTTCATGGATGCTTGAATCCTTTTTTTGAAGAGAAGCACTAAATCACTGACTCTGTCTGGCTGTAGCTGAACGTATATAGTATCAGCTTCTCATCAGAGCCTCTGAGCCAAATCCTCCAGGCAGACAAGGTGATTGAAGGAATATTTGGTAACACAGCGAGACATGAGAAGACCTGACAAGAAGGGGCTTCTGGGCTTTGCAGCCAATCTGATCTGGAGAGCCGGGATTTCATAAAACAACATGAAATGTGGAAAATATTTGCTTTCACATGTACGCTACTGAAGAATAAAAGGGAAGTGGTAAAAATATGGAATAAATAACTATAGCATGGCAATAGTCAGGGAGAATGACAGGAGAGGCTCTCTCTCCAGATGAATAATGTATTGTGGAAGCTGTGGGGTCTTCCGCAAGCTGTGAATCATTACACTGAAGGATTAGTACTCTGTATTGTTACATTCACGTCACATACAGCTTATTCTGAAATCTAAAGAGTATGAACTGTCGTTCCGATTCACCTTTTATGCAGCTTTGTTTATCGAGTGTTTTTAAAAATCGTTGTATGCTGAACCATGCAGCAATGCCATATGCATCACCTGCATGTATTGTCCAGCCATTCCAAACTGACATACAGGAATAATCTGCCTATATATGAGTAAATATCTCATTCATTTTAGCAGAGAATGAGAGAACCGAGTAATGTAGTCCCAGTTATCTTCTTGATTTGTGCATTTTTTAAGGCTGTACTCCAGGAAGATATAAAGGCCA